TTATTATTATTATTATTATTATTATTATTATTATTATTATTATTATTATTATTATTATTATTGTCAGTTTTGTAATATAATGACACAGTCACATTTGAAGTATTGTTGTCGCTTAATATATGTTTAATTTGAACATTTGTTGCTTTATCGCCCTGCCAATATGCGTTTGGCAATTTCTCCATTCCTACTCTACTTCGAACTTCTCTTATCTACATTATTCCAGACAGCTGTTCAAAGCAAGCCCTTCCTTCTTATTGGCCGTCTCTCCTGTGAAATAATTATGCCTGCATGTGAGGTCCACCCCAGTAGCATCATCAACATGCGTTCCTCACACTCATTTATTCCGATGTTCCTGGTATTCCGTACATGATTTCAATGTCACGGCATAATTTCAAAATACCAGATTTCAGAAAAACGACATTGACAAACTGTTGGCTGAAAATGCACGAAATGAGCAACTTCTGGCAAAAATTTCGGATTATTTCGAGAAGCTTGATCCGTTAAGTCAAGAAAAGGTGTCTAGGTATGTAAGTTAATTTTAAACATTTTTAAGAAATTTCCCCTGTTTGGCATAAAGAAGTAGTGATAGTTTTTACTTTGAAAGCTGCCATTCTAACAGTTGTTTCAACAATAAATCCATTCAAATTGTAAATCTTTTAATCATCCCAAAATTCTGCTAGGAAACGAAATCAGAGTATTGCTAGCAAGGTAAAAATTAAAATTTCAGCGAAGTGAAACAGCTGTGCCAGGATCGCGCAAAGCAGCTCATTGGAAGCAGTGACTTTGAAACACTTAAAAATGCATATGAAGAATTAGCATCTTTTGAACTGCTGGCCGCCAACTTCACTCGGCTTGTTGGAAATTTGAAAAGCGAATCTCAACGCAGTGAAGCAGAACAGTTGCGCAGACTCTGCCAAAAGGTGTATGGGACTGAACGCTTTGACCCGGGCGAGCTTACTTCATGGCTCACCAGTGATCAGGTCTTTTTTTGATGCATGATTTCCTGCAAATGAATGAGCAAAAACTGACTGCAACATGTGCCTGGAATGCGGAGCGGTAATGCTTCCACGCGACAAACTGTAGTGGCTGATGAAGGTAGAACGGATGTTTTTAACGACGTCACAGTGCACACTAGTTTTTTGATTTACTCAGTAGATAACTATGTGTAGTCTAGCTACCAAATAAAGTTTGAGACGCGGTGCTGAGGCCAAGTCTTTAACGTTCCCTGCATCAAAAGAATAAAGTGGAAATTGACTTCACGCTTCTGAATTTTACGTGGCTAAGTGAAAGCTCCATATTTCAGGCAGCCAAATTTTTCAGCTGTGGTATTGAATTATTGCAACTAAGGATACGCGAAATTTGTTTCAGAAACTGGAGCTAGAACACTTGATCCAGGACCCAGGTGTGAGTGATGATGCGGTGTATGAACGTATCTTTGAATTTTATGAAAAAGCGGATGATGAGAAGAAAACTGATGCACGGAAAGTCATCGAGTCGGGTTGCAGACGATTTGTTGATCGCATGTTCGGGGATAAAATTGCTGCCGTATGTAATACTTATCCCAGCGATTCTGGCAAACTTTAACTTAATTGTTAGTAACAAAATGTTCTGAGGGCTTGTAGTTTTTAACAATTTTTTAAAAAATGTTGAAAAAGAAATTGCTGAAACAGGTGAATTAAGTTGGAACAGAAACTTTTTCATGATTTGTACTTTTATGCAAATTTCTGCGTGGTTTCCATCGGTAGAAATTCATTTGCAGAAATTGGAAGAGCGTAGGTTGAGTGGTAATTATACGCCTCAGATGCTTACCGCCGAGTTGGCAGCATATGCAGCCGAGATAAAAGATGTGAAGAATCGAATCAAAGCTGAGTGAGAATATCTGATTAAAAACTTTTATGTGAATAAAATCCTCATTTTCAGAGTTTTTTTTTTTCTTTTTTTTTTAATGTTGGGACTCTGTATGCTTTTTATAATGCAAAAAAAAAAAAA